TAAAATGTAAAGTTAAAGTATAGAAAAGATTTTCTGTTATTTATCAAAGAGGAATTTGGATCACTATTCTCTAGGCAAGGTCATTATTTGACAGTCATTGACCTTGTAATCTTGACTGTGAGCTACATGCTAAAAAAGTTTTTTTTCTGCAAACTTCACCCTTCACTATAACTTTTGAACCGTAAAAGATAAATATTTCATATTTGGTATGTATACTCCACAAATCTTTTTTTGTCAAATGACATCAAGGTCAATGACCTGGTGACCTTGACTGTGACCTTTACTCTTAAAATAGATTTTTGAGCCTTCACCATACCTTTTAAATCATGATAGATAGAGATTTCATGTTTGGTATGCATACTTCCCTAAATAAGTTCTTTCAAATGACACTTAGGTCAATGACCTTGTGACCTTGACTGTCAAGTATATGCTCAAATAGCTTTTTTCGAATTTTGTTGCCACTGGGCCCATTATGTTTCACAAACATATCTGCAGAGGTTTAAATAATGCAGAAAAGCGAGTAAAGTTTTATACATGGATAAATGATAACATATTTATTTAAGAAACTCATTATATCGAAAAAATGCTGGCTTACTAGGTGTATCTTTTCACAGCTACTGAGATTCTTAATATAGCAGGGATAATTCAATTCTATTAAAAAATTTAAAGATTTTCCTCTCAGAATAATTAGTACGCATATATTTAACAATGGAAGAAAACTTGTGGTGAATATAGATTATGATGATGAATTTATGACCTTGTCAATATGTATGCACCGAATGGTATTAATAATAGAACTAATTGTCTTAAACGTACTAAAGACTGGATAAGTAAATACACAGAAAGTTTTGAAAATATATTGATATGCGGCGATCTGAACTGTTTGTCAGAAAACAATAATGATTAAAATACTTTTTCTTTTAAACAACTTTTGAATAAGTTAGACTTACATGATTTATGGAAAACTATGAAAAGTTTCAAACTAGGATGTACTTGATATAATGGAGAAAATACTCCAACAAGATGAATTCACTATATTTTACTTTCAACTACTTTTTGTTATCAATGTAAAACTATGACTCCAAAACACCCCTGGTTCACATTCAAATGGAACAAGAATGTCTGATCATAATTGTATAATCTTCTCTATGTTAGTAAATGAAAACCTTAGAGGTCCATGATACTGGAAATTCAACACATCTATAATTGAAAATGTAACTTTTATCATTGATATGAATATTTTTTTCAAAGATATTTATTTCGATAGAGAAAACCCAACAGAATCTTGGGAAGACTTAAAGAGGGATGAAAAAGATTTTTGTATAAATTTCTCCCAAGAATCTTTCAAAATTTCACAAAATAAAATAAATTTAATTCAAGAAGAATTAAATAAAATATAATACCTGCCCTATTAAAAAATTGATATGAATAGAAAACGAAAATTAGAAAAGGAGTTAATAAAATTGATTAACAAAAATGCAAAAGGTGCTCAAGTTAGATCAGGAGCAGACTGGACTGAAAATGGAGAGATAAAACCTTTCATATTTCTTAACCTTATAAAAGAAAAGACAGATATCAAATATAAGATATTTAAATACTGAACACGGTTCTGTTTTGATGAAGATGAAATATTGCAATCAACAGGTAATTTTTGGAGAAATCATACACTTCAGAAAATGTAATTGATAATAAGATAGGGGAATATCTCAACGATTTACAGTTAGAATATACTATAAATGGTAAGGAAAGAATAGAATAATATTCTTCTAATAATAGAAGAATAGAATGAATTTCCTTCAATATTTGATTGTAAAGAAGGAGTGTTTAAAATGAAGAAAAATAAATCACCAGGACTTGATGGACTACTATATGAATTTTATCAAACATTCTGGGAAAACCATAAAGATTTTTATTTAAAAAACCCAAATGACAAGTATCTTTAATAACTCTTTTATTTAAAAAACGTGACTCTAAGAACCTGATAAATTATGGACCTATTAATCTAATAAATACTGATTACAAAATAATACCCTTTATCTCAGCAAACAAAGTACAAAAAATACTGAATAATACAATACATGTAAATCAATCGGCATAAATAAAAGGGCGCAATATTGCCCTTAATGCAAGATTAATTGTTAATATTTTTGAATATTGTGAAGAAAAATAACTTAATCAATACTGTTATTCCTTCATCCAAAAGGCTTTTGACTCTGTAGAATGGATAACCATTTTATATGATAAGCCTATATTTAAAATGGAAAAATAATGGGTGGAAATCTATAACGTGATATGCATAGAGGTTTAAGACAAAGATATCCTCTTTCTTCTATTTTATTCCTATTTGTAGTAGAAGTGTTAGTCATTGCTATTAGATTAAATCCTAACATAAAAGGTTTTCAAAAACCCGGAATGACTGATATTATAAATATAATACAACATGTAGATGACTGCACACTTCCTTTGAAAGATAAGAAGTCCCTTAAACATTCTTAAGAGGGTTATAGAAAAATTCAGTAAGGTATCTAGTATGAAACTAAACATGTCCAAAACAGAGTGTCTCCTTGCAGGTCAATGGAAAAACTTGTATCGGCAAATAGAAAATGTTGACGTTAATAATTCCTGTATAAAAGCTCTAGGGATATTCATAGGACATGATAAGGAGATTTGTTACATTAAAAACTGGACAAAAAATAGTAGACGACTTAGAAAAAAACTTTTTGATAAAATTAACAATTCTTTGCAAAGTTTGTGTAATTAATAATCTAGCAATATCAAAAATTATATATGTTGGATCAATGTTTAATTTTCCAAATGAAAATACAGTTAAGAAAATACAAAGTCTAATTTTCAATTTCGTATGGAATAAAAAAGACTGAATAAAACGAAATATTCAGATTGGAATTGTTCAAAAAGGAGGAATAAGTATTGTCGATGTCCTTTTCAAACTTATATCCATAAAAGTATCGTGGATTAAAACATATCAAGTAAAACAAATTCCTTATTCCTATTTATTGATAGTTTATGTAGAGAGAAAATTTTTGATTTCGAATGTCCATGTATTACAAACGTTATTGATACAAAAGATTATCGAATTATGGAAAACTTCCCTTGTTTTACAAAGAAATAAAGGATATTCAATATTTTTTAGTTGCATATGGAGTTTATTTCACGAGTGGGACAGGATTTTTTATATTTTCACGAGTGCGAAACTTGAGTAAAAATATCAAAAAATCCTGTCCCATGAGTGAAATAAATTCCATATTCAGCTACAAAACATTGAATTTCTATTCATTACATTAAAAAAACATTGATAAAATTTTTTAAAAAATTCTTTGATTTTTCCTCTGCCTTTGTCTTTTTGTAATGCAGTTATAGGCTACATGACATCATAGTTGAGCGGCTGAGACGTCATAGCCGAGTGGAGTGAAAACACTGTAAACATGGATTTAGCAACATGTTTTTGGTAATTTTGACAGTTTATCTAAATGGTTTATTTTTTTCATCTATCTTATATTAGATCAAGGAAGATTTTTTTCACAACAACCTTCCTTATGGGAATGGTAATCGAGAGTTTCCCCGCACTTCTGATATTCGTCACATTGTGACAGGATATCATTATGAAATCATTTCACATTGTGACAAGATATCATTTTTGTTCAATGAATAAATTACATTATTTCACGGGTACAATTGTAATAAATGCTACTATTTTTTAATGAATGTATAAGTTACAAAAGAGAGCTAAATTTGAATGCTTTATTAAAGGAGAAACTGTGGTGTAATAATAAAATGAAGTATAAAAACAAACCGTTATTTTTTTTTGTAAATTGGCTGAAAAGTAGATTCAAATGTATTGGTGATATTGTATGCAACCCATATAATGGTTTTTTACGATAAAGTTGTATATAAGAGAAATTGGATTTGTGAATATATGATAAATAATGAAAAATGTAGTTTTGAAAATTTTTGTTGATAATGAATTTACCAATAAACAGTATGAAAATATCATATATGAAAATAATTCATACGATTTACAAAACAATCATCAAGTAACAGTGTTCGATATTCATATCAAAATTGATTTATAATATTCTATGTCATGATAAATTTAAACCACCATTACATCAATACTTTTATGAAAAATTGTTTGAAATTCCAAAAACAGTTTGGAAATTTATATATGAAAAAAATATATATTAGTAATTGCAGCTAGAGGCATACCAAATTTCAATGATAGGTTATTGAATAACATATTCTGTAATAGAGAAATGTTTAAGAAATGGAAAATTGTTGAAAATGAAATGTGTTTTTTGTAGAGATGTAAAATGTCAAAATGTTTCTCATATATGGAATGTTGTTCAGGAAGTTTGAAATTTGATATATCATGGGAAAATATTGTTAGTAGATTATATAATGGAAAAAAATGAAAAGATATTATTTACGAATAGCATAATATCCCTGACTGCATGCAAAATTTACAAATGCAAAATGTACTGTAGACAGAAACCAAAGAGGAAAAGCCTGAAGAAATATGTTATCATATAAAGAGTATATTGAATATTTTTCTCTGAAGTATATATAAAAGAACCATATGGAATATTGTAATGTTATAAAATGTATTAAGACAAATTATAAATCAAAAACTCATTGTAGAATAAGCCTGTTGTACAAATCTTATCTGGGAGACAATAAATAGACTGTATTTGAGCTGGAGGTGAGGTCTCCAAGATAAATAAGTTAAGTGTACCACATGTATGCAATTACACATACAATATTCAGCTCGATTTCTTCTAACTGACTTTTCTTCATTTTGATATTTTGTGATTTATACATGGAAATAGAAAAAAGTAATTGTTCAACTTATGAAATAAATGGATTTTATGTAACATGTATATGATGTTTTGCTTTTTTGATAAAATATAATAAAATAGCACATCTTGTTAAAGATGGTTTTCTCTCTATAAGAAAAATATATTTTTTCTAAAATAAAGGAATACCTCTTTCCATTTTCTCTTTAAATCCTTGATTTTCGCTTGATGTTTATTTGTTAAGGCCTTTTGTTCTTCTACACATCTTTTGCTTAAGGCTAGTCCAAAATTGATTCCTTTTGCCATATTCTTCAGCAATTCGTCCAGAAACCTGAGATAAAACGTGTATTATTCTTCTTCTTATTATTATTAGTATTTATCTTAATTTATTAATTTTCTATTTAAACAAAAATAACAGTTTTAAAGTTGTTACCGTATATGATGCAAAAGTCTTATATTTTCATTTCCTTTAATAATTCGTTTCAAAGAATGTTGAAAGTTTTCAAATTCTTTCGCTGAGGCAACTGTTCTAGCATTCATCTTTTTTGAAAACACCTTTGAAAATAATGCATAGTAAAGCGTAAATGAACTGTACAACGAATAATTCAAAATCTATGCAAGAGCCAGTTTCAACCTATAAAATGAAACTGTTTTTAACATGATTGTTTTTTGTCTTTTCATTTTTTTTTGTTTTAACATGTATTTCAAGTAGTATTATGCATTTGCAATGATATAAGGATGATTTCTTAATCCAGAAATATGGGGATTGACAAATGTATCCAAGGATGTCGTTCAAACACAAAATGTATTTATCTTTTAAGGACTTCGTGTGGTAATTTGCGAAAATATTTTGTTAAAACACGTTCTGATTGCACACGCAGGTACTCTAAAGTTTACATGAAAAACATGCTCGAGTTTCTAATTGATAATATCTAGTATGTATTTTTTAGAGTTCAAGTCTTCCAGAAATTGGATTCCCCATAGGTACCAATTCGTTAACAGCGGACCTATTTTTGAATTCATATGAAGCAGGATTTGTGCAAATTATTATGCATGAAAAGAAAACACTTGCTGTGGTCTCCAAATCGATATTTAAATATATGAACGACGTTCTGTCAATTAACAATGGTATAATCCATTCCTATGTTGATACGATATATTTTGGGAAGCTTGAGATAAAATATACCACAGAATCTGACACATTTGTTTCATACTTGGATATTTTATTTGAAAAAGACATCAACAGTTTTCTCACAACCAAGCTCTATGATAAACGTGATGATTATAAAACACTTTTCGATGTTACTTATAGTTTTTTATTGTATTGACAAAAAGAGACTTTGGATGTATACATACACACACACACACACACACACACCTACGTGTGAAGGGTGTCAAACGGGGACAGGGGTTAAAGACTGTCAAAGTGGGGACTTCTTCATTTTTGATATTTCATTGACTTTTGACTTAAAATATTAATCACCATGTAACCCTGATGACAAATATAATGAGAACATATCAATATCTTTAATTTTAAGCTAAGCACATTTCACAGCACAAACGGGGACCTATTTCACACTCATTAATATTCACACACCAGTTCTTGTTTTATTGTATCTAAACGGGGACATTTTCCAAAACGAATAAAATCCTCTCTTTTGTGCCTTTTATTCACTCATTACAACCGTTCTCATCACTGATTAAGACCGCTGTCTTCATAGGCACTTGAATGCTTACTATTTTAAATCAAATATGGAAATTACGAACAGTTAATGCATAATGAAAATATATTTTAAATTTTTCTGCTCAAATAATTTTGAAGTTTAGGAATCTGTCTTAAATTTATCAATTTGGCATCACTGACCTCTTTGTCGCAGTGACATGATTAATGGAATTTAAATATGGTGATTGCAACATAGTTTGCAAAATTCAAAGCTACTTCTTTTACATGTAATTTATGATTTTCCAAGTTTTTGTTTCAGAATTACAGTATTGAACAAGAAAAAATATTGTCATTTGACATACTTACAACTATAAAAAAATATAACACAAGATCAGAAGGGGGCGCTGATAATACCACTCAAAAAAATGACCAATTTAAAAAAAAAAGAAAAATTTACATTGACCTATTGATAATGTTCAGGTATTGAATATAATCGATAAACACTTTAAAATCAAATAAATGCATTTACGTATACGCTTCATTACAGTCGACGACGACTTCTTTAAAATATTTATATTACATTGCATCTTTGATCAGGTATGGAATACCATATACGACAGCCAACTGCTTACTCAAGTTACTGCCAACTGCTGACTGCTTACTGCCAACTGTGAGCTGCCTACTGCCAACTGCCACACATATTTGAATAAATTTTATTGTCATATTAATATTTATGTGAATTAAAAAAAAAAGGCGCAAATCAAGGGCATTTTTTCCAAGAGAGTCGCTCTGGTAAAAATAAAATCCAACCCAGAAATTTCTTGACAAGAAAAAATGTACATTTGTAAATCCTTCCCTAAATGTGAAAATTTATTTCAGTCGGGGAGAGGGGGTTTCTAATGCGTCATACCTTCATGTCTATGACATTTTTTTTTATACCAACTTAACACGATTCCGTATTTTCCTGGGGGGGGGAGGGGGTGTCTAAGGTCCCTTTTTATTGATTTTTAATACATTAAATAACTTTTAGTTGGTTTAGTTTGTGCATTAAATAACTTTACAAATTTCAGCGGGGTGGTCCGGATCCCTCTCTCTAGATCTATGCATGTAAAACATCTCTTATTTGTAAAAACAAAGAGATATAAATGTTTGATCGGCGTTTTCTTGGAGGCCGGGTCCAAGGTCAGTTTTAGTTTGTTTAGTTGTGAAACATTATAACACACAGATAACACACGGAGATATATACCTTTCCTTTTAGGAAATTTTTAACTATAGAATATAGTAGAAAAATGTTAATTTATTTTTAAGACATCTTTCTCTGCGAAACGACAAACCTTTTTTTTATTTTATTTTTCTCTCTTCAAAGGTTTTGTTGTCTCGGGGGGGGGGGGGGGGTCTTCTTTAAAAATTAGAAGCAGAAAATAGTCATTTTATTATATACCTATTTAAAAAAAGAATCAAATAAAAAAAATAAACAATGTACTTTATCAATCGCATACATTTTATATAACATAAGTTTAAAAAATGTTGGTCATTTAACCAATTTAATTTTACCAGGGTGACCCTCTTGGAAAAAAATGTCCTTGATCCGCGCCGGTTTTTCCTTCTTCTTCTCTTTTTTTGAAAATTCACATAAAAATCAATATAAAAATAAAATTTATTCATGTTTGTGTGGCAGTTGGCAGTAAGCAGCTGACAGTTGGCAGTAAGCAGTTAGCTGTCGTATATGGCATTCCATAATCAGGTACTTTTATTCAAAAAAAAAACATTAACTAAAAAATCTTTCAAAGCAAAGACAATTATTCATTTTTTGTTTTACGCAGAAAACCGATGATCCGGAAGTATTATACCTGTGCAGTATTTTTAATGGCACCAAATGTTTATGAAACTAAAGCTAATAATTTTATTTTTTATAAGAAATATACAAATGAACAAAATTAACAGAAATAAAAAACAGGAGTTAAATATGTTTTCCATAACCGTTGCTTAAATTATAAAAGAAAATTTACATGACATTTCAGTTGCGACTGCTGCAAATAGGGTACTTTAAACCGATTAACTTTTTGCAAAATCGTCTGATTGCTTGAGATATGTATACTGTACTCACTACTGTAAAGGGGGGGGGCGGGTTCCAGCACCCTCGTCCTCATTGTAAAAAAAAAATTATTTCAGAAAGTAGACACTTTTGTTGTAGAGTTGCATTTCCCTCACAGCCAACCCCCATCTGCTCCACAAGGAATCGTACTCTAGAGCAGAATTTCCCTCCAAGAACCACCAGAACCAAATTACTCCTTGAAGTTCTCTCTTTATCAGAATAGGACCCCCAACCCTTGTCATATAGAGAGTAAATATAAACCATAGCCGCATTTATAATGAAATAAACGACAAAAAGATTTTTAAATGGTAAATTAGTGTTTTTCAACTTATGTACATTTAGGAAGTATATATTTCAATTCATCAACCAAAATGTTAAGCTTTCAAAAGAAACGCAAATCTCCCCAGATTAGATGTATTAACACCTCTAGTGGCTCAGCGGTAGATGTATTTTAATGTTCTTTTTGACAAGGCTGTTTAAAGATTTTTTTCATAGAAAGTCCCTTATTTATGCATACTTTTTGCTACTTATATTTTGCTTGAATCCAATGAACGGAAGAATTGTTTGAGTTCGTATCATGTGAAAACGAATTAATCATTTCATAAATACAGAGTAAGTTATCTCCTTTTATTTCATACGTCTACTGATTTTTTCCTCTATAAAAGTTACGCAGTAAAATGTGAATAATTCCCTAGAAATCTCTGCGAGTGGACTAATCCCCGTGAGATAGTTACATATTGTAAATGATCTAATCCCTGCTTCGGAAGTTAATTCCCCGGTTATCTGTTACATGTATCTCTAGATTTTACTTTTGCATCGGTTCTAATATGCTAAGGGGCTAATCCTCGTGCGTTAGTCCGGAAGCTAATACCCGGTCATTCGTAATCCTTAATTTTTTTAATTACTTTTATATCGGTATAATAGTCAGAAAGTATATAATTGGTGATTTAGCAAGATTCTAGTTCCCCCTGACCAGGACTATTTCCCGAGACACAGCCACTATTATCCGCTGACTAATGAAACCACGCCCTCAAAATGCAAGCGTAGCAACAATCAACACTGCTTGATGACGGTGATAGTATAAAAAAAAATATTGATTGTGCAGAATTCATGCGCGTAAGGTTCATAATACCCCCGCTTGAACAGTGGGAGGGTATATATAAAAAGAATGGTATGCCCGACCGTCCGTCTGCACGTCCGTCTGTTACGTTTGGGGTACCCATCTCTTATCTGCAACTCCTCTCCTACCACTGAAGGAAATTCAATGCAAACTTTCACAGAATCTTTATTACATATTGCCATTGTGCACCTCTTATTTTACTTTTTCATCTGACACCTATTTTTGTGATTTTCCAGAGCAAAACGTGGATACTGCCATTATATTCATATGGGAGGTGGGGGTATTATTTAGTGAGCTCATTGCTCACAGTACCTCTAGTTGTAATATGTTTTCATAGAATTCGTATTTCGTGAGGCTAAAAAAACATTAGTTTTCGTTGGAGTGGACGGTATTGATAGGATACTTATCCAATATATTAATCTACCCACGAAATAGGTTTTTTAAGTTTGGGCGAGTTAACGTTTTTTTTTTTTTTTTTTTTTTTTTTGCTTGTCAAGAAATTTCTGGGATTGGAATTTTTTTTTTGACTTGGTGGACCCCCCTGGAAAAAATTTCTAGATCCGCGCCTGCTTTAGCCGCGGGTTTGAGACCGTATAAACCGATGTCCCGTGTCGCAGTAGGTGCTGGCACAAAAATGATCCATCACTGCTCAATGACCCTGG